TACAGAGCATACTCACTACAGAGCATACTCATAAAACATACTCACTATAGAACATACTCACTATAGAACATACTCAAACTATACTGAAGATACACAGCCAGACTCAAACCTGGTTGAATAAAATCTGTTCTGTGCTGCAGTGTAGAGCAGGATATGTTGTCCCTTCGGCTGAGACAAATCTATGCTCAGGACTGTGCTTGAGGTGTGATTATGGATGCCTGCACATGCATTCATAAATATCTGAAAWCTGAATATCAGTCTTTTAAATTGTATCTGTGCTCAAAGCAGTACCTACGGGCACCAACACACAGTAAGGTAGTCATATCAGGGGGAACAGGAGTACAAGTTCCACGCTGGCTGCTGGGATAGTGAAAAGCAAGCAGCTCAGTTTTCCAGCTGCCATTATGTGTCTGTCATGTTGTCAAAGAAAAGCCCAGGAACCATGTTTACTGGGGGGCAGGATGAGCAGCAGCAGTGCAGGGTTATAACCTGTGGGGGGTTTAAGATCCTTCGGCTGCAGCTTCTGTTTGCCTCCATGTTTATCTGAACAGTGGCTGCAGAGGGATCAGCTCACACTGTGTAAACTGAGAACACACAAACAAACACACAAACTCTACCAACAGAGCAGTCCTCAACGCCGTGCTGAAGTTATGATCATTGAAAGCTTTGTGCAGAGCAGCATGTCCTCCACAGCCACATGAACAGTTTTTAGAGTGGCGTTAGTAGAGTCGTCCCCCCCATCTCATCTCACCCCTGTCCTGACGGTGCACAGACACACTCCCATGTAGGCTGCCAGTAACACCAAACGGAGCTGGCTGAAGTTGGAGTGGTGTCGTAAGTTGTCGGTATGGACTGATGAGGAGTGGCATCACATCAGGTTTAATGATTAATCTCAGTACTGCATCACCACAGCTGTGTCTGACAGAGTGTGTCCCATCACAGTTCTGTCAGTGTTGTGATGAAACACACTGACCTTACTCCACAGAGTGTCTGTTACCGTGTCATAAAGTTTTAGCTCAGTATCTGTGAAACTGACTTAGCTAGAGCCTAACATCAATGTGACTWTCTTAAAATAGACAGTGAACCCTTGCTGCCTGTGAAGTGTGTCCATCAGTGATCTAAAGCACTGAGTCTCTACATATCTAATCTGGGTAATCATTCTACAGAAATGATCGTGCCCATGTCAACCTGACATATTTCCACCTGGAGACATGCTAATGTTTCAGGGAAGCAAAGATTTTTGGTTAGTGACACAACATGTCTGTAGACACTTAGAAAGAGCACACAATTGTTGAACACCTTGATGGTTGAAAGAGTGCAGTATAACCTGCTGCAGGTCCATTCTGGGATCTCAGAGGACACAAAACATTTATTGATCCATCACAGAAGCAGAACTTCTTCTGTGGTTTTTAGGGAAAGTTTACACTCTGCATATGTCAGTACTTCTAAAGGAAAGTCTGGTGTATGGAAACACTCATCATGATCAGATTAATTCATTTTGTACTCATTTAAACTATATATTTGGATTATTTAACCTGAATACATTTCAATTTGATCAAAGAGTTCTGAGTATTCTGGTTGGATGGAAGGGAGCTATATAAGTACAGTCCATTTACCATTTACCCAAAAACTGTTTTTCATCACATCAGGACCAGTCTGGTCCTGACAAGGTGGTTAGGTGTTTTTACCAGAAAAAGATCTGAAAAGGTAATAAAAACAGGCACACACAGGCCAAACCATTCTCAGCTTTACCCCCAGCAGTGGTTTAACTCAGTGGTTCCCAAACTTTTTATCTTCTGACCCACAAAATATCCAGGGCAAAAACTTGTGACCCCAAATATTACTGG